TACTTAAAAACACGAAAAAAAAATTATTAGAACACTTGATAAATAATATAAATACTACAGGAGCACGATATGGTGTGGCCCCGGCGGTCCACGCGGTCGTCAATGGGTTAATTTTCCTTCGAATTTTCGGCTTTTATTCGACCTTTTCCTATTATTAGTTGCTTATTTACTAGGTTTCTTTGCAAATAAGTAATCAAAAATCTCGGATGAATAAGATAATTCTGTTTTTTCTAAGGTGAACGGCGTATCATTGGAACATTTGTCACATGCGGATTCAGTACGAACATTGGTAAAAAGTGGCGAACACGTCCAACTTCGTCTTATCCGTTTCCCGGTCGATAGCGCTCAAGCACAGTGCCTCAGAATGCTTCAAGAACAGGTCAGTCCCTCATTTTCTTGGAATGCGCCATGCATTATGTTTGATCCAAAAAAGCTTCAGACTTTTATTTCTCCTGAATCTCATAATACATTATCCGCATGAAAGAGAGTATTGATCTTAGAAGGACCTATAAGGAGGTTCCTAGAATGTCATTTTTGAAATGTTTGGGGAAATATTTTACCAACTCATAAATATGTCAGATTTGGGAAATATCTTTCGAACAACCTGATATGACGTAGGTGTAAAATCACGACGTAGTTTGCTCTTTGCTTTTTCCTTTTCGTAGCATAGCAGAAGTTTGCCCTTGGCCGCCTTTGTGCAGTCGCTCTTCCCATTCAGCGCTCTGGTCCCAAATCCACTCGTGGCTCAATCGAATTTAGCTTGAAGTCCGGCTTTACGCCTGTCCAAGATGTGCTTCAGCAATTGCGATGGCTTGAGATAGATTTACACACCACTTGAGTATAATGGAATTTTCAATTATCGCTCTTCTACCATTCAAGGTAGGGGAAAAACTATCTTTTACATTCTTTTTGGGATACGCCATGCCCCCTATTTTCACCTAAAGGTCCGAATTTCTGAACGTGCGAATGCTTTTGCAAAGGCTCTCGGAGTCAGGCCTCTCCCCTCCTGAATTATGCTGATTTTTGGTATTTTGCTCTACTAAAGAGGTAGGCTTACTTGTAGCGCCTTCAACCGCTCCACTGCGTCGAATGTATTGCTGCGGTTCCGGCTCCTTTGCTTTCATCTTTGTCTGGGTATTTCCTCAGGTTTATTCAATAGATCTTGTGTAGCGCAACATTAGCCCTGTCTCCTTCGATAGGATGTAAAAACAGGTGTTTTGTTCAGTTCATTGACTCAGGAATACGCCATGCATTTTCTTTTTGATCGCTATAGTCCTGTGTCTGTCTCTCTACATTGCAGGGACGGGGTCTCCTGGTCGGTACTTGACCTATCGAGAGATTCCATGGGCATACCGACGTTTTGATATGTCTCATTATTATGATCGTCACAAGTAAAGACCATACCATATAGTATAACTCGTGATCAGGACAAATTACTAGTAACTGGTAATTGGTCTAGCTATATTTGAGTATCGCGTTACGTAGAGTACAGAGTAATGAGTACAAAGTTGTAATGAGTATAGAAGACTATGGCTACGGAAGATACTCTGTGCTGCACTCTTTCGTACAACTTATCCTTTTTTCAAGTCATCGGAGAGCTACTAAAGAAAAAATTCAATTACTGAAGTTTCCATTCGATAAGGAGTCCTTTTACATTCTGCGAAAATGTACTGATTTGTCAGAATTAATTATTTTTACCCTACCCTTGGCTTTCTTTATGCGAACGCATCGAATCCATGACGTTCACTTCGCCCTCTTACCGGGATGCACAAAAGATTGGATTTTCTTTTTCGACCACCACCAATTCGTCTAATCCATCGTAGATGGTTGGGATAAATGGAAATTAGGCTATTTGGCCTTGCAGGATACGTTTTTTGTATGGCAAGACTAGGAGGTATCTGATTCTCGAATCTTCCGAACCCACTGGCTTTGGGGCTGTTTAACTGAACCTCGAGAGTCTCTTCTCATTCTCCCCTTATAACAAAAAGAAATGGTTGGGAAAACTGCTTTTTCTCCAGTATCAAGGGCATATTTTATTGCCTGCAGTAGTGGGAAGGTTTAAAATAGCGCTTTCTTCTGGCTTCTGGGATTCTACCCCATATGACAGCCTCAGGAGTTATCTAGCTGCTTCGTTTCTGGAGGCTGGTGAGACCTAAGGACTTTTATGGAAGTTCATACTAGAATTTTGACTACCAAATATTTCCCAATAGTTCCAAGAGGCAGGGTTCGTGTCAGTTAAACTTAAAAGACTGAATATTACCTTATCAGGAAACGGAAACGCAGGTGATCGACGTTCAATCGTCGAATCCAAGCCTGGTGGCCGAATGGAAACGGAAACTATCGGACGACGTTGACATCATCACCACCATCATTCGACCGGATTCGAATCGAGCTGGAGACGGGGGTCTCGGGATTTCTTTAGAAGGTCAGTTGCTCTTGTGATCTGTGAAAAATCTGAAATTAGGTTGAAAAACCTATTAACTGGTTGGGATTTATCCAGAATTTTCCAGAAGTTTCTTGGAGTCGGTTACTAACTTTCGTCGTTTTTCTTTCTTTTCCTTTCGTTTCTTTGCCCAGGTTACCCTGACCCTTCTGAATTCTAGGCACAGTAGACGTAGTACAAGGCCATCAACTCTGTCCTCATCATTACATCGAATCCATCCGGCATAATGGGCCGGCTGCTGCTTCAGGAATGTTACAGGCTGGCGATGAGCTGTTACAGGTACCGTAAGCTACCTGCCTATTTACTGTTTGCTCCCAGTAATCTGCAGATGTTCCAGGTGAATCACTCGATACTGTACGGCGAATCGCACGTCACCATTCGACAAGCCCTTTCACGAGCTGTCCATTCGGGAGCCCCAGTGACATTAGTGGTAGCTCGGCGAACTCAACATGTCAACGTCTTTCAGCCTACCTCAGAAAAAAGTCTTCCCGCCTCATATCCTCTACTTGCTTCCGGACATGAGAAGATTGTCAAGGTGAGTGGTTTGAACCATAGAAGAACAGGAAGCATGGCGAGACACAGGCTGGAATTCTGGCGCCAATAACCACACCCTTTTGGTGCCAAGGAATCTCCTTCCGGCAGAACTCCTTTCAGGCCACTTCGGAACTCAGGGTCAATCGCTTGTTTTCAGGCAAAATCCGAGATAAACATCCCAGATCTAACCTCCAACACCGACGCTCTGCTCCAACAAGTTTCTCGTCGTCTAAGGGCTCGTTCACTGGAGCCACTGACTGGACTAGCTGTCTGGAATTGTGTCCCATTAGTGGTCTGCCTCGAAAAGGATGAACGAGGATTAGGATTTTCTATTGTTGACTATCAGGTGAGTGGAACTTTTCCTGGGTCATTTCATTTTCCCTAAGGTCTTCTCGGTTTTATTTCACCTTACCCTTCTGGTTGCTTTTGTAGCCAATACGTCAAAACCTTTTTTCATGTCCTCTACGGATCTTGTGTGAGACAAGGACATCTGTGCCATTTGTTCATGGCTCCAGATGGCCAGCTTTTGAGGCCGGTTTTGAGAGATTGAAAGAATAATTGGTGTTATCAATTTTCTCGGTCACATAAGGGTAGAACAATGTTTTTTGGCATTAATCAATCCTGTTTTGGGAGGTAGGCTATGCAGTAGGCTTCCGTTTACAATTGTCGTAGCATTTGAATGGGTAGTCAGCTTTCACATAAATCAAGTTGCGGAGCCACCCATTTGAAGATAATTTTCTGTGTTCTCGAATAAGTCAGGTACCAAGTTGGCTACCTCACATGGATGGGGCATTTGAAGGGCTTGAATGAATATCAACCCCAGATTGATCGCTGAAGCTTGTACTTTGTATGTAAAGACGCCTCCTGGCACTACCTTACCTTTGCCTGTCACTTGTCTGTCTACATAATGTGATTGATTTGTCAGTTTTTCCTAATCAAGGGTGTCCGCGAGTAGTTCTTCCAGCTGTACGTAGGCAGGGCAGGCTCAAGTTCTTTGCCCCACACAGAATTTCACACAGGGCGTTCACGAACGGAAGCTCCCTTCACCGAGGTATACTCAATCAAGGGATGGCTCTAGCCGCAAATTATCGTTGCAATGACAGGGGCCCCTCATGCGGGCACAGATACCTCTACGTCTGATTCGGATTATGAAAAAAGAAAAGAGTATAAGGATAAGAGATGAAGTCCGCCGGGTTTGATCGGCCCGTTTTTGGGATGCGCCCTGCATTCACCTTCCATTCATAATCGTGGTGGCGTACTGAAAGCACACGTGACCTATAAAATAATTTGCGGTGGCCAGCTTTTGCCGTTGTAAGTCAGTGATTTCATTCTCCCAAACGAATCTGACGACTGTTTAGCCAAGGGATGGAAGGTTTGGTTGGTATAGGGAGATATCGACCCAGGATTCAATCTCGTGACCGTGCTTGTGGTCGCTCTGCACTTGCCATCGCACCACTTCCGCCAGGAACAAATACCGAATCACCAATAATCGATTTTTTGTACCGTATCGCAGACGACTCCTCCCACAGCAGTAGGCTCCACTCGTTTCCGTGATTTGCACTCAGGCTATTGTATCGAATCAGACTTACTGTCGGTAGAGGACTTTGATAACTTGCCGGAAATTCTAGTTTGAGGGTATAAGGTTCGAAGAGCATCTGCTCTGCATGTATCCTGAAAGTAGATTATCTATCAAAGAAAAAGATAACACAATTGGCGCTGGCAGCCTTTTTCATTTTTAGCTTCGTTTTTGAATTGTGGACCCATTCGAATGCATTTTCCGACGCTGATTGCTCCAGCCTCTGATTTTAGCTTCCTTTTTGAAATGTGGACCCATTCGAATGCATTTTCCGACGCTGATTGCTCCAGCCTCTGAAGTTTTCCTATGGCTCACATTCATTTCGAACCAACGCATATGCGAGGCTTATTCTGGATAGCTCCACTCCATGCTTTGCAGACTTACAGAAATTCCTTCATTTCGCTAATTTCCTGACGAAATATGACTTGATGATCGTCTACGTCTTCCACATTCCGTCAGTTGCTCCTACAGGGGTCATAGAATGAACTGGAGCTCCCCACTGAGAAAACTTGAGCATATCCCTAACCCCTAACCTTTTTAATGCCAAATAATTGAAAAGCGAATAAATAATCGATTAAATAAATCGCAGAAGTCCTCAAATCGTCTCAGAAAGTTAGGTATTCTTAGAGGTTCCTTCCAGGATCCATTACATCCAGGAGAGTCAGTGATTGTGGTACAATCGTTGGTACCCGGTGGATTGGCTCAGTCGGACGGTCGAATCGTTCCAGGCGATCGGTTGCTTTTCGTCAATCAGCACGATCTAAGCAACAGCAGGTAAGAGAATTTCCAGTTTTCGGACCATCATTTGCGTTTATAGTTACTGTGGCTATTGATACTTTTACTACAAATACCTGGCACTTGTAGCCTATGGTCACGAACCTTATTATCGCTCAATGAGACATTTGCCACTTTTGCTTACTCTTTCCACTAGTAGTTCGCTGACTTCAGTGACTGAGGTGCTGTGACTGAAACTTTTCATTCAGCCCTTACTCTGGGAATTCCTAAACATCTTCTGGAATAGTCTTTTTGTTGTAAGACTTTTGAACAAAAAGCAGTTGTCGGACGGCCCGGTGAAAAATCGAAGAAGACAGCCTGAGAAATTAGCCGTAAGGCCTTCCGTTTTTGCTCAGCTCTAGCGTTCTTCATACAGCTCAGTCGATATGCGATCATTATTTTATGCATAATTCTACTATTAGTACTTTTGTTCTGGTATTTCTTGCCTACTGCTGCATCCTGCTACATTCCTNCGCGCGCGACGCCCCTCTCACCGCGACGCGACCATTTCGTTCCTAATGCACCACACCCCATTTCTCGTTTTTAGGGTGTAATCCTGGCAAAAGGATGGTGCGCATTGCTGGATAACCTTTCGTTTGCTGACACCATAAAATGTCCATAGATAAAAGGACAAAGGATAAAGTCTTTAGGATCATTCCCGCCTTAGGGATACGCCCACGCATTCGGCTTCCATTCGGAATCGTAGCGGCGCACTGAATGCGTATGTGGCCTATACAATGACTTGCGGTGGCTAGCCGATGTACTAGTCAGTGTATTTACCCTCCTAGACAAGTCTGGTACAACGAACCGATCCCGGAGGGGATGGAAGGCTTGGTTGACCTAGGCGGATATTGATCTGGGATCGAACCCTGACCGTGCGTGTGAGATAGTGCGCCAATTGCCACTACACCAACTCCGCCTATGTCTAAAGATACAATCGGACATTCCCATTAGTAATGGTGCGCTTCTTTCTTTGGAGGTGTGCCTTCCTGGTTTTCACGGCTTATAACGCCGTCCGCAAACTTTTCCTATCAACTTTTCCTATGCCTTATGTGGACTGTCTTCTGGTTAGGTCTCAGAGCGGAATAATTATACATTCATGAGTAGCTGACTTCAGTAAAACTCTTCAGAGACTTATACATACTTGGAAGGAAAGTAGCAAATCTGATAAAGGGCCGCTACAATCTCAAGCTCACCTTGATAGTCATACTCGATTTTGGTCATTTTTTCTTCTCCCTGGAACCAAAAAGAGGAAAGCCTCTACGGATCAAGCCTAGCGTTCACTGTACCGGAACTTGAAACAAAGACTTAATCAGTAAGCTCTGATGCTTGAAAATAGCGGTGTCCGCATCTGGTTGTTCTGGATTCGATCCATATCCCCGACAGTTTTTTTTGCAAGGACGTCTGCTACCAACCGAATAGGAGGGTTGCTCAATCTTAGCGATTTTCAATCCGGAACTCGATCACCAGACTATATTACCCCATTTGACAGTGCCCTGTTCTTGACTAGGTTTGAGTCCTTACTAGTCTGCTCATTTTTCGGAGCAAGGCTAGCATCTTTCGTCATTCAGTCTTCTTCCTTGCATGAATCTCCAAATGGTCCATTCCGTCCCAATGACTCCGTTTGCTCCCCTCTAGACTGG